CCAGAGAATCTTCTTCCATGGGGAAGCGACAGTTCCCAAAGCTCGTGAGAGCTCCTGGCACACCTTTTGAAGGTGATATCAGCAGCAGTGCAAACCCAGAGGGATTACTGGAAGGAGGGAATTGGGATCTGGATAAAAATCTGAGATCATCTGCTCTTGTTTGCATTGCTAGTACCATCCATGTATTATATAAAATACAAAAATAAGAGAAACTGAAAGGAAATTAGTACAGCCCAGGATTCTGGTGGTATCAAATCACAAATGAAATTTATGATACCAAATCCTTTTGATGTATTTATCCCCTTCTGATTCAGTTTCCTATATATTATTCCATATATAAGATATAGTTTTCCAAAGATACATATATATTCCTTTACAGGTTAAATAAAAGCAAGTCCCACTGAATAAGAAAATAAGAGGAAGTAATGTCCTAATTCTCTACCCATATCTTTTTTTTTTCTTTTTCAGGTAAAAATAGCATGAAATACATTCAGTAGCAAAGCAGTTGGAATCCAGGAGAAATGGAGAGCCCTGTATTCCTGGAGGATTAACCTGTACGTGTTAAGTCACGGTCCTGAAATAAATTATGTAGACTTCTGACCTGGGAAAGATAGGATCCCGATCAACGCTGAGTATTATCTATCCAGTTGCAAATTCTTTGCGTTCCCCAAAACCCGCCTACGCTTTAGCCCCGGTTTAACGGCTGCTGTGACACACACCTAACCTGACCTGGAAGGTCCGGGCTGGAGTGCTCCACTGTGTCTCCCCTTAGTATCACTACTTGGAGGGAGGTAACGGGACAGCTCCCAGTGGGATATTAGCATAACAGACGGAGAAATAATTCAGTTCAAGCCTCTGTGCTTGCAAGAGCACCACGATGCCAGGCGCTGTGTGCACTCGCTGCCCTGGGCACACACAGCGTTACGTGGCCGGCGCGGACGGCTGTCGGCACACGGCACGTGCCGCGGGCTTCAGCCGTCCCGGCGGTGTGCTTGTCAGCCAGGACAGTCCCACGGTCTGGAGAGAAAAATCTCTGCCCTGATCTCACAGTCAAGGCAGTAACATGTACTAAGGTTTTCTCTCTAGCACTTGGAAGAAAACCAGCATTGAAAGAGAAGAGTGTTTCTGTTTTCAATGCCAACCGTATTTAGGCTTATTAGATTATGCAGAAGTATGCCAATTATCCCTGAGTCGAGCAGTACATCAAAAGAAGAGGTATAGTTCTCCCACATGTACAAGTAGTGTCATGGATTTCACTGCAACTACTTAATAGAAGGAAGGGAACAGCCCTACCTTTATCCTGTGGGGAAAGCATGACTTGCATCGCTTCCAAGTTTTGATACTTCAGTGCCAGTAAATTCAGATTTTTATTTACTCCTAAGTTGCCACATTCAGTCAGTGAGTGACATCGTGACTCTAAAGTCAACGGGATCCTTCCTGCTTTGTCAAGGGGCTGAATTCTTGCTGTTCTTGACAGACTTTCTGTCTCACTCTCCCCTTGTAGATGGCTGGTTTGGGTTGTCTTTAACACAATGGCACGGATGAAAGTGGCTATCTTAAAAGAAATTTCAGGGGCCAATCAAGAGAATTCCTCTAAAATGTTTAACAAGGGGAAAAAAAATTGCTTACCTGTGTAAGCAATTAACTTAGCTGTAGCAAATCTCATCCTAAGTAACGAGCAGGATGAGGATGTGTTTGTCAGCTGGCAGTACGGGTGACACATCTGATCACCCTTCCCGAGACTGGTTTTACTAAACGTTAATGCACACGGACCTTAGGGATTTTGCAGATTCTTGGATTAACACCATGCGTGATATTTTCTATTTTATTGGGTTTTGTTCTCTCCAGGTACATTTAGAATTTGTTAAACTAAGTGAAATAAGTCCTATTACTGTAGAGTATTAAGTTTGATTCACAGAGATAACACTAGTTCACAGATGTACCATGTAACTAAATCAGCCTTGCTTCATTTATCCTGTAAAGTGTTACAGTCAAAGTAAGAACAACTTCTTTTTAAAGTGAAAAAAAGTATTTTTTTTTTTTTTTTCCATACTGGGCACCCCAGGAACAGACTGGAATCCAACATGATAAAACAGTTGTACTAAAAATTTACTTTGGAGGTTTGTCCCTAATCAAAATAAAGGCTTTATTTCAGAACTCTGCATTCTCAATAAAAACAAGATTTAGTTCCACATACATATTTACGAAATTCAAATTACTTTTAACATAAGTTTGATGTGGACACATAGTTTAATACTGACTTGGGCAAAAATTACTAATCCCTCCAGACTTAGGAGCTACGTTAGCTGTTCCAGTGCCACATGAAAATAACCGTTTCAGTGAGACTTTGATGGCCTTT